TTTTATAAAGATAAGCATATTTTTCCTATATGTTTCATGAATTCAAATCTCAGTTATTTACCTGAGAAATCAAAGTATATATTCACAAAAGACTTTTACAGATGAATCTCTAAAGTGTTATGCTAAGGGAAGGCCTATCCTCAAAGCATACTGTTTTATTCCATTTATACAAAGTTCTAGACAATACAAGCCAATCTGTGTGGAGAGCAAGTTAGTGATTGTCTTGACCCGTAAGTACGTGTGGGAGATTGTCCAAGAAGGGGCATGAGGCAACTTTGGTGATGATGGAAATGTTTTGTATCTTTCTTTGCTGGTTATTAGTGTGGTGAATGCGTTTAGCAAAACTTACTTAACTATGTACTTAACATATATATGTTTAACTGTTTGAAATTTTTAGTCCAATAAAAAATGGACATGTCATTAATTACATGTCATTAAGCCTGATACAAGTTACAAGTAAATACCTAGATTATTTTTCGTGAAACTAAGAATATCCAAAATAAAAAATTGTATATGATCAGAACTACTGGTTGCAGATGGTTTGCAGAGACAAATATAGAAGATACTGGCATGCATTTTGGTGAAAACTGAAGGGAAAGTGGGGAGCTCTACTGCTCTTGAATTAACATAATCTTTTCAAGTTTAGGAAATCAGTATAGGTAAATAAATTGAACATGTGCCTTAAGGACAACCACAGTAATAACAATTTTTATCTTTTAAGGTAGCATAAGAAACCTTATAAAGTGAAAACCAAGAAGGGAAAAAATGAAAGAGTGAAATAAATGAAAAACATGAAATAAAATGCCAGAAACAAGTATTATTTAACATTAATGTAAATGGTTTACACTCACCAGTTAAACTCTCAATGAATTTTTCAATAGTTTAAGTGATAGCTACATGATTTTTAATTAAAGTGGTGAAAATAAAAGGATGGACAGTGATGTACCAGGCAAATATGAATGATAGCAATTAATAAAGCTAGACAGTAATCTGAACAGATGTTCACCTATGTATATTTCTGAAATTTAGTTGAGAAAGACAGAAGCTGAACCCACTAGAAAGTTTTGATATTTAATAAAGAACTTGATAAATGTATATATAAATCTAAATAAGCAACAGTTTTATAAAACTTATACCTAATGTTCTTGATGAAGGAAAGGAAACAAGGTGAAAGTAAGTATTGGGTAGCAATAACATCCCTAATGAGAAGGGGATGACTTTAAAACATTTGAATGTTCTTGTACTCTTCAGGGAAAGAGAAGAGATTATTAGTTTAGAATTCATGAGTATGTTAAACATTTAAGGGCAAATAAAGCGGAGAGTGTATACAATTTGTGGAACAAAAGAAGTCAAAATACAAAGAAAACAATAGAAGCCTGAATAAAAGCATATAATAGTTAAGGTAAATAAAAAAATATAAACTAAGATGTCAGAAAAAAATTCCAGATGTATCTATTATAGCAGTAAGTTAAAATGGAGTTAAAATGGACTGAGCTGAACAGTTTAAAAAACATTATGAATTAAGGAAGATGAGCAAAATTTAGCTGTAGAATGCTTACAAGGACAAACCTAAAGCATATGAACACAAAAAAATTAAGAATATTAGGAAAGACTTATATCAGAAAACTTATCCTTATTCTTTTGTACATTTTCCCACCTCCTTTAGGTAACCACAGATTGATTACTATAAGTCAGCTTTACATTTTCTAAAAATTTTACTCAAGTGGGATTACACAGTATGTATTTTGTGTTCTGATTGTGTTATGCAACATAGTTATGCATGTATTCATGCATATTTTTCCATGTATCAGTCATTTGTTGCTCAGGTGTGTTCCATTGTATATGTATATACACACATTGTATTTAATTTATGTGATATATGTATATAATTGTGCTTATTGATTTATTGATATAGTTAAGAGTTATATATATTGTTAGAGCTATTGTGAACAACAGTGCTATGAACATTCTTTTTTGAGTCATTTTGCAGACATATTTTTATTCCTCAGTAAATACTTATGAGTGAAGTTATTTCATGAAATAGGCATATGTTTAACATCATTACGAACTATCAAATTTTTGGCATTTTTAAGATGTGCCATGTTCTTAGGGCTTTATTTGTGATGGTTACTCAGATGTCATCCCATTGTTATTCCTTCATATGTCGTGTACCTTTTTTTCCTTTGACTTTATATTTGGCATTCAGCAATTTGATTCTCATGTCTCTAAATATGATTTATATTAATTTTCTTTGGGATTTGCTGTACCTTTTGGACTTTCATTGTTTTTCATCAAATTTAGACAATTTTTGGCCAATATTTTTCAAAAATTTTTTCTGCTGCAATTTCTTTTTTCCTTCTGAAACTCCAATTACGTGTTGTTACAATATTTGATGCCATCTCAATATAGCTATTTTCAAATTCTTTTTTTCTAATTCGAACAAATAGGAGATCTTGGGATCTGATGGGTTTGTTGTTGTTGTTTTTGAGATGGAGTCTCGCTCTGTCCTCCAGGTTGGAGTGTAATGTCGCAATCTTGGCTCACTGCAACCTCTGCCTTCTGGGTTTGAGTGATTCTCCTGCCTCAGCTTCCTAAGTAGTTGAGATTACAAGTGCATGCCACCATGCTGGGCTAATTTTTGTATTTTTGTGGAGACAGGGTTTTCCCATGATAGCCAGGCTGGTCTTGAACTCCTGACCTCAGGTGATGCGCCCACCTCTGCCTCCCAAAGTGCTGGGATTACAGGTGGGAGCCACTGCACTTGGCCGGATGTGTTGATTTTTAAATGGGATCAGGGAGTGGGCTACACAGTGCTTCATTTTTTAATCTGAGTGATCCATCATAAGTGTTTAGTATATTATTATTTAGGCCACTTTTATGTTTAAAATACTTAATAATTGATGAAAAAATGGTAACCGTTGCCTAATGTATTGTCTAGAAATTTACTCCTCTTTCTTCTGTCTCCTCCTTCTTTCTTTTTCCTCCTTCTTTGAGATGGAGACTTCCTCAGCCATCCAGGCTGGGGGTGAGATGTTGCAATCATAACTCACTGTAGCCTCAAATTCTTGGACTCAAGCCATTCTCCTTGAAGATTGTTTGCAAGATTGTTTCAGCTCTTCGGGATCCCTTGTATTTCCGTGTTAATTTTAGGATTAGCTCATTCATTTCTACAAAAATAATTATCTGGAATTTTAATAGAAAATGCATTGATCTGTAGGTCAGTTTGGGGAACATTGACATCTTAACAATGTTATGTTTTCCAATTCATGCACATAGGTAGCATTCCATTTAGTTGGGTCTTTATTTTCTTTTAATGATGTTTTATAGTTTTCAGTGTAGACATTTTATACTTTTAAAAATGTCATTTCAGAATATTTATTGCTATTTCCGCCCCTCCTCCCCCAGCCCCGTCCCCACTTCCCACTCCCCACTCCAAGGCAGGGTCTCAGTCTGTCGCCCAGGCTAGAGTGCAGTGGCACGACCTCAGCTCACTGCAACCTCGACCTCCGGGTCCCAAGCAATTCTCCCACATCAGCCTCTCAAGCTGCGGCTATAGGTGTCAGCCACCACACTCGGCTAATTTTTGTATTTTTTGTAGAGATGGGGTTTTACCATGTTGCCCAGGCTTGTCCTGAACTCTTGGGCTCAAGTAATCTGCCTGCCTTGGCCTCCCAAACTGTTGGCATTACTGGCATGGGCCACTGTGCCTGGCCCATTTGCATGATTTAAACAGAACAAAGAGTCTTCTGTGGATTTTCAGTTTCCCTCATTCATACAGAAAGATAACAATCACTTCATGTGGATATAGTGTTGACTATGTGCCAAGCACTCTTCTAAGCACTTTTATATACATTTTATTTTTAGTATAGATAAAGTCTGAGTTGGCCAGCTGGTCTTGAAATACAGAGCTCAAGTCATCTGCCTGCCCGGCCTCCCAAAGTGCTGGGATTACAGGCGTATGCGACCACGCCTGGCCACCACTGTATATTTATTTGTTTCCAGTAGTTTTGTAGAACTCGTTTATTAGTTCAAATGAGCTTTTTTTTTTTAATCTGCCTACAAGATTGTCATCTTGAATAGAGATACTTTTACTTCTTTTTTTGCCAGTGTATCTTTATCTATATTAAATGTTTGTGTGTGTGTTATAAAAATTGATAGCCTTATGTTTACAGAACTTACATGTTTATCATATGATTTGAAGAACATTACGTTTTTAAAATATTGGTAATTCTTAAGCAATTTGTCTTTTATATTCATTGTATTTATCTGTAATGTTAATTCTCAATACATTGATACTCATTGTATTTATCTGAACGTGTCAGAAACATATTACTAAAAAATGATGCATCAAAATAAGAAATGAACTTGTGCAGTCGTAAAAAGAACAAGATCATGTCTTTTGTGGGAACATGGATGGAGCTGGAGGCTATTGTCCTTAGCAAACTAATGCAGGAATAGAAAACCAAATACTGCATATTCTCACTTATAAGTGGGAGCTAAATGATAAAAACTTGTGAACACAAAGAAGGAAAAAACAGACAGTGAGGTCTAGTTGAAGGTGGAGATTGGGAAGAGGGAGAGGAGCAGAAAAAATAACTATTGAGTACTGGACTTAATACCTGGGTGAAATAATTTGTACAACAAACCCCCATTACATGAGTTTACCTTTGTAACAAACCTTCATGTGTACCCCCCGAACCTAAAAATAAAAATGAACTTTTACACTTCTGGGCCTTCAGTCCGGTCACCCTTGTATTTCCTGAAGTTAATGATTCAATGAAAGAAGAAATAAAAGATTTCATTATTAAATTTTCTAATTGGGTTCACTGTTAACTAAGATCTGTGACAGTTTTGAGACTTGGGTCATATAATTATTTAGATATTTCTGAAATATTTAGCAAATACTCGTTATTAAATTTCATCTGTCTTTAGAAAAATTGTTTCACGTTTCATTTTTCTTCACACTGATTTGAAATGTTCTGTTTTTTAAATTTTACTAGGTATAACCCGGAAAAATCCCAGAACACCTCTTTCTGATCTCCAGGGCATGAATGCTCTAAATGAAAAAAACCAACAGTAAGTGTGTTTGGTTTATGTTTTCAAAGACATATAGAAGAAATAACTAGCATTCTTGTTGATATTTTTGTGACTTTAAAAGTACCAAGTAATTCAGGTGTTGTTTTATTTCTTAAATCCTTTATAAGTGATGTGATAACACATTAATAGGTTAAAGTTAACAAAATTTGTTTACAGTTGCTTCTGGTAAAATGGCTTTACAATTTTGAAAAAGTTTCTTCAGAATAATTTAAAATGAGCTCATATATTTTAATTGCTGAGACCCTTCGTGCATTTTATGTCTTTTACAAAATTTAAGGGTTATTCTGCTGCTTTCTGTGGAGAAATCTTATTGGGAAGTAATAATAGAATAGTTTGATTTACATCAAACCATCTAATACCTTTTTTGGGTGAGTGTGATTAACAAAGCTTACCTTTTACTATTTTCAATGATGAATTCCTGAGAACAATTTGACAGTAACAAATATAAATAATTTTATGAGTTCATAAAGTCTCTTTGTTTTTTATGTATACTATTTGATAAAGACTGTAATTTATATGAGGAGAAGAACATTGTTTCTAGAATGCATTCTCTGTGTTTTAAACATCATCAAAAAATTGAGCTTCCTAATACTCTGGTAATAAGGATGGTCTGTCATTAAAATGAAGGTATAACTTCACTGATCATTTTTTCCAATTGAGTTACTATGTCTTTCTAATACATAATTGTCACTTGTCTGCTCAATAACTTTTTCATGACTCTTTATTGTCTATTAAAAGTCTAGGTTCAATAACTTCATGTGCAAGATCTGTCACAGCCCAAGTATCTAGCCACAAATATATTCACTTCGAATGCCACAAATTAAACTATTTGCTATCTTTATATTGTATGTCCTTTGTTTTCTTAACAGTAGTATTTGACTAATTATGATATCTACCACCATATTTTCATGTTAAATTTTACCCCAAAACAAATTAGATAGTTAACCTTGACCTGTGTACCTTCAGTTTCATCTGTTGGCAGTATTCTCACCCTGGTCATTGGATGAGAACCCAATTTTCTTGATTATATAAAAAAGAAACCACGATATGCCTCATTTCACAAAGCAGTTAGTGGTTTTAAGTTTCCTAATTTCTAGTTCGTGTTTCTTTCTTTGTACTTTCCATTTTGGATACCTGAAGTGGTCTATGTGGGTTTCTGGTTCAGTTCCAGACCACCACAATAAAATGAATTCTCAGTAAAACAAATCACACAGATTTTTTGGTTTCCCAGTGCATATAAAAGTTACATTTACACTATACTGTAGTCTGTCAATTGTGCAATAGTATTATGTTTAAAAAATATATACGTTAATTAAAAAATACTTTGTTGCTAACAATCATCTGAGCCTTCAGTGAGTCATAATCTTTTTGCTGGTAGAGGGTCTTTCCTTGATGTTGATGGCTGCTGACTGATTAAGGTGGTGGATGCTGAAAATTGGAGGGGCTATGGCAATTTCTTAAAATAACACAATGAAATTTATTACATCAATTGCCTCTTCCTTATAGGAAAAATTTCTCTGTAGCATCCAGTGCTGTTTGATAGCATTTTAACCACAGTAGAACTCCAGAATTGGAGTCAATCCTCTTAAGCCCTGCCACTGCTTTATCAACTCAACTTATATAATGCTTTGAATCCTCTGTTGCCTGTTTTTAAAAGAATTTTTTCCTCAGCAGTCCTTAACCACAGAATACGTTGTCATTTCAACAATTTTCACAGCATCTTCACCAGGAATGTATTTTTCTGCTGTATTTTTTCCTCCGTCTCCGTCCCTCCCTTCTTTCTTTCTTTCCTTCTTCCCTCACTTGCTTCCTTCCTTCCTCTCACTCTCTTCTCTCTTTCTCCTTTTGTTTCCTTTTTTTTTTCTCTAAAGCCAGAGTAGCACTCATTTTTTTAAATGAGAAAAATATAAGTGCACACACAAACCATCTTAAGTGCAATATGATTCTCCCGTTTGAGAAGACGCATTATCTTAGGGATAATGATTCACTGACTTTTTTTAATGGTTTAGCACAAAATAATGAAAATACAAGCATTTCTAAAGAGTTTATTGATTACATGCCATTTATATATCTTGAATAAATGCTCTAAGCAAATGGAAGCTGAGATTTATAAATATGGACAAATGTGAAATTGTTGTAAGTAGCTATCTCCTGGTATTTATTTTAAAAAAATTTTAGTTCACTCATAATAATTATACATATTATAGGGTACAGTGTGATGTTTTGATACCTGTATACATTGTATAATGATCAAATTAAGGTAATTACCATATTCATCTCAAATATTTATCATTTTTTTGTGGTGGGAACATTTCTCTTTCAAAATTTTCTTTTCTAGCTATTTTCAGGTATATAATACCTTATTGTTAACTATAATCACTCCATTGTTCAATAGAAGACCAGAATTTATTCCTCTTGTCTTACTGTAACTTCATACCCGTTGACCAACCTCTCCCCTTACTACACTGCTCCACCTCGTTACCTTTTCCAGTCTCTGATAATCACTGTTCTATTCAGTACTTCTGTGAGAGCAGCTTATTTAGATTCCACATATGAGTGGGGTCATGCAGTGTTTGTGTTTCTGTGTCTGGCTTATTTCAGTTAACATAATGTACTCTTATGTTTGTCCATGTCGTCCAAATGATAGGACTTTATTCTTTTTTTAATGACTGAATAGCATTCCATTGTGTGTATATACCACATTTTCTTTATCCATTCATTTGTTGTTGGATCCTACTAGTTTACCTGGAGAGCCCTCCATTAATTGTTACGTACTTTACCTGGGGAGCCATTAATTATTACGTTATAATCACTGATAATTTTATGTTTTATTCATTGCTACATCTGCAGTGTCTAGAGTCTCATAGGACTTAGTAAGTTTAATGCGTGTGTGAGTAGTGAGTGTGTGTGTGTGAATAAGACCTTTCAGGAGGAAATTAGATATTCCATAGGATGGGATGGTCTATTAGGATTACAGATTCCTACAGTAGCATTTGAAAATTCTAAAATCTAACAAAGAGAGAAGATATTATAATCCATTATATTAGTTACTAGTTGAATGATAATATATTTAAAGATGTCAACTGCATGATGTGCTCATCTACATGCACATTTGTATGTGAATATGACGGAATTCATAGGAATTTGTTCTGAATGAGACAAAGGTTAGTCCCAACTGATTGGCAATCATTTGCATGAAATCATTTTTTTATTGGTTTAGCATTTTTTTTCTAAATTTTAACTTTAGTATTTAAAGTTTTATTTTATTTAAGCAATATAGTGTTAATTAGAGAGGTCTTGATTAACTAAAGCAAATTCTGTTTTTTACAGTGATACATTTGATATTGCCTGGAATGGCAGAACTGGGATTCGCCAGAGCAGACTATCAAGTAGCACCTCCTTGCTTGATAAAGATGGAATATTTGCTAATTCAACTAGCAGCAAACTCCTGGAGAGAGCCCATGGAATTCTCACGTCAGTACTGATCAGTAATGTGATTTTTTTTTTTTTTTCGGTCTGGTTTAAAATTTCTGGCAGGAAAAAATGAAGGAGGGAGATGGTGAAGTGTTATTTTCATGGGAAGAATTTTGACTGAAACAAGACTCAAAGGTGTTTAGGTAGCATTTACAGCCATGAATCTCATGTGTTGTAAAGCTTGTATTTTTGTTGATTTTTCTGCCCCATATTACCAGGAGAATAGTGACTGAATATATTTATTATAGAGATGATAATAAAGGTCTTATTGTTTAGACAGGCCCTACCTTCAGAGAAAGAAAAAACTATTAGCTCCTTTTAGGATTCCCAATTTTTACTACAGGTCTCCTTTAATTCTAGCAGTCTTAACAAATTAGGCAAGAAAATCTATAAATGGTGAATGGTTGAGTGATACATGACACTTATCCAAGCTTTCCATTTCTCATAAACTGATTATAGAGTTGAAGACATAGCCATAACCATGCTCTACCATGCTTCATAGAGACCCCATCTCTCCAAAAAAATAAGGAAAAGAAAAAAAATTAGCTAGGTGTGGTAGTGCATGCATGTAGTTCCAGCTATTCAGGAGACTGAGGTAGGAGGGTCATTTGAGCCAAGGAAGTTGAGGCTGCAGTGAGTCTTGATCTTGCCATTGCACTTCAGCCTGGGTGACCGATTAAGATCCTGTCTCTGAGAGAAAAAAAAAAAAAAGGAAAAAAAAGTTATTAATTATTAACATTAACATATTTTAGACATTTCCCAAGCATATCGTTTGACCACTAGCAAGAGGTGTGACTGAATTGGATTCCATAAGCCTTGTCTGAATCACTGCTTAATAATGTTAATAGGTTCTATTTATGCAGGTCTTGCTCTAGCCCAGAGATATACGTTAACTCATTTAATCCTCACAATAACTTTTAAGTTATAGGTAGTATTGTCATCCCCATTTTACATTATTACATAATGAAAAGTTAAAAATGTTAAAATCATACCTTAACAGATGGTAGACCATAGATTGTTGTCCAGGTCTTTCTGACTTCCCAGCCCATATTCATAAGCGTTGGACTTTATTCCTTCTTTCTGTGGCCATAAAAAAAGCTAAAAATAAAATTAAAAAGACTTAAGTATGGTATTGAGGTTTGAATAAGGAAAAAAAAAATGAGTGGAATAGAAGAATTTTTAATTACCAAAAATGGAAGATTACATTTTGGTGATAAATACGTTTTTAAAAAATTTATGAAACAAACGTCTCACTTAGTCTTGAAATGATAGAAATAAGTCTTCTGTAGGTACAAGAAGCTACTAACAACTGAAGAAAATGAACCTGTAGCTTAGAATGTACAACACAGTGTTACTAATCATCAGGTGTAAATCTGTTTATACTTATATAACAAGGCAGGTGTATTTTCCTTGTTTATTCTTCCTTCCCAAGGTGCCTGCTTGGCTGAATCAGATAGTGTTTTCATATAGAAGACCTACAGTCTTGGTAGTGGGTATATAATCTGTTGTTTGAGGAGAGACCTTGAAATCTTACTTCTCTATAGTAGCTTTTGTTTTTGTTTTTGTTTTTATGCAGTAGCTTTTTTTAATGAATGATTTATCTCTATAGGAGAAACAAAAATTTCAAACCCAAGCCTGCCCTTCCAAAGGTGAGTACTATGAAAACTCTTTTTGTATTGGTATTCTGCTACACAATTATTTTTTATTACACATACAATCTTCATACATCAAAAACAAGAAATAACCTTATTTGTATCCAAGATAGTGATTGTGCACTTAGTTGAATACATTTTAGAAATAACACTGTTATGAAATGGCTAAGCCTAATGGTTCAGGTAAATATTTATTTGTGGTATATACCATTTTCTAGTATTTTAATAGCTCCTGAATATAAATGTTGTTCAGTTATTGCCTCTTTATTTAAGGTCTTTTCATTTCTCCTTGAGCCAAGTTAAGGTCAAATTCTGAATTGTACCTGATTTTAAAATAATTTCTGTTTAGTGCTTACATAATCCAATTATCTATAATAAATGTTTGCCAGGTTTTTCTATAAAGGGACATTGTCTTTTCAGGCTTATGGTTTCTGATATAACTAGTTGGCTCTGCTGTTGTAGCAGAAATGTGGCTATAATTTGCATTCCAATAAAATTTTATTAATGGATACTGAAAATTGAATTTTATATAATTTTTCACATGCCATAAAATATTATTATTTTAACCCATATAAACCATTTATAAATAATGGGAAGGGTTTGGTGAGCAGTACTTGCCCCTCTGTTAATATAGCTCTGGTTTTTTATTTTTTTGCGGGGATTGTTGTTTCATTTTGCTTTGTTTGTTTTATTAATGTTTGTAACAACTTTATTTGTAATAGCAAAAAACTGGAAGCAACTCAAACTTTCATCAACAGAAAAATGGATAAATACATTGTGGTATATCCATATAATTGAATATTTAACTCACCAATAAAAATTAATAAACTATTGATGCGTGTAACAACATGAATGAATCTCAAAATAATTGCATGCAATAGTGGATACTGTATATAAATCTCAGAAAATATGAATTGCAGTGACAGAGAACAAAGAGGTGGTTTTAAACACACAGACATTTCCAGGGACTACAGCCCCCTGGATCAATGCAGATAAGTAGTTAAAAAGCACACTCCCCAGTTAATTTCTGGAAGGGGTTTGTCTGTGTACTTTTGTAGCTGTTGTTTGAGGATTGGGCTCCTCTCTAGTCTGTATCTGGTAGCCACAGGCAAACAAACAGTAGACCCCTGGGATACTGACTGAGTTCCAGCGTTTCCTGAGTTTTTTCATCTGACTTGCTCCAGCAATAAAGCTAGAGCAGATTGTCTCTATAGATTATCCCTGGAAGGAGTTTATTCATGGATTGATCACAACTGCCACAGCTCCCTCCCAAGGGATGGCCTCCTTAACCATATAGTTCTGGGAATAGTTCTGGGAATTGATGGGACACTGAATTTCTGAGTCTCTAGACCAGTGAAAACAAATAAATGGGCCCACTTTCTTCCCCCAAGATGAGATAATGCAGTCTGATCTAAAATGTAGGCGTTTGCTAGAATTCCTCTCTCCAGCGTAGTGCAGAGAGAATCCTACTTTCAGCTTCACCCTGAGGGTAGAAGGAACTGGAACACACTTTTAACACTTCAACCTTTTTAGCTGTGTCTAGAGGGAATGACTTCTCTCTTACATGTTTTGAGGTACTGACAGAACTTGGCACATCCTAATTTCCTGGAGGCAACAAAAAACAAAGGCAGCAGTTTGGACAAACACAAAGGTTTGAGAGTTACCTTAGAATTTCTGGCCAGACTGACTGGTTAGGTCCTTCTACATGAAACGGGACTGGGAGAAGCTATTAGGTTATCTAATGTGCAGAAAACACAGAGGGTAAAGGCAAATGAAGAAATGGGGAAGTGTGTTCCAAATAGAGAAACAAGATAAATTCAAAAAGTACCAGAAGGAGAAGAAAGAAAAAGTGAGATAAAACAGTTTCAAAGATGTAAAGGCAGAAAGCTACTCAAGTCTGGGGAAATAGAACTCCAGATCTAGAAAATTCAAAGGACACCAAATACTATCAATCCAAAGAGATCCATATTAAGGTACGTTATAATCAATTTGTCAAAAGTTAAAGACAGAGTATTTTTTAAAGAGCAACAATGAAAAAGCAACATGTTAAGTACAAGGGTCCCCCACAAGACTATCATCAGATTTTTCATGAGAAACCTTGCATGCCAGAGGTAGTGGGATTCAAAATCCTCTGAGAAAAAAGACCTGCCAACCATAGTACTATGCCCAGCAATTTTGTCTTTCAAAAATGAAAAGGAGAGATAACAACTTTCTCAGACAAACAATGGCTAAGGGAATTCAGCACTGCTAGACCTGACTTACAGGAAAGTAGAACTCTATTTTCTTGAACTTCTTTCTTGAGAGTTCTCTAAACAAAGTTCTTCAAGCTAAAGGACAGTGGTACCATGAGAATATGAAAGCAGAAAACTCACTGATAAAAGTAAGTACACTATCTAATTTAAACATTGTAATTATGTAATGCCAGTGTGTAAATCAATGATATCTCTAGTGTAAAGGTTGAAATACAAAACTGTTGAAACAATGGCAGCTACAAAAGTTTGTGAAGGGACACAAATTATAAAAAGATATAAAATGTAACATCAAAGAGATAAAACATGAAGGATGAGTAAAAGTGTAGGATTTATGCGTGCAATGAAAGTTTAGTTTTTATAAGCATAAAATAGCCAGTTGTAAGTATATGACTGGCTTTTATGTAAGCCTCAAGGTGACCACCTTTAATGGATACACAAAAGATAAAAGGATGGAAGTCGTACCACTATAGAAAACCATCAAACCACAAGGGAAGACAGCAGTAGTGGAAGAAAGGCTCTACAAAACGATAAAATAACAAACAAAGTGGCACTAGTAAATCTTTACCTATCAATAACTGGTTTGAATGTAAATGGATTAAATTCTCCAATTAAAAGACACAGAGTGCCTGAATGCCTTAAAAGAAGAGAGACTCATCTATATGCTACCTGCAAGAGACTCACTTTAGCTTTAACAGTGTACAGAGAATGAACATTAAGGGATGGGAAAAAATAGCCCATGCAAATAAAACCTGAAGAGACAGCAGCACTATCCTTATAACAGACAAAATAAAGTCAAAAACTGTAGATGAGATAAAGAAGGTCAATATATAATGATAAAAAGGGGTCTGGTCATCAAAAGGATGTAACAATTTTAAATATATGTGCACCCAACATTGTAGCATCTAAATGTATAAAGCAAACATGGAGACTTCTGAAGAGAGAGATAAACTACAATACAGTAATCCTAGGGGATTTCAGTACCCCACTTTCAACAATGAACAGACCATCCACACCAAAAATCAATAAGGAAACAGTGGATTTGAAGAAAACATTGGACCAAATGCATTTAATAGACATATACAGAACATTTCAATCAACAGCAGCAGAATACAAATTCATCTGAAGCGCACATAGGACATTCTTCAGGAGATTACAGGCGTGAGCCACCATGCCTGGCCAGTAATAAAAATTCTTTCATAAAAGAATAGTCTAGGACCAGATAGTTTCACGATGCAACACTACCAAATATTTAAAGAAAAATGAGTACTAGTCTTTCTCAAACTCTTTCAAAAAATTGAACTGGAGAGAATACCTGAAACTCATTTTACAAGGCCAGCATTACCCTGATAGCAAAGCGATACGAAAATACTACAAGAAAATTAGTTCAGCTACTATGGAGAAGTTTGGAGATTTCGCAAAGAACTAAGAGTTGAACTCCCATTCAACCCAGCAGTCCCATGACTGGGTGCATGCCCAAAGGAAAATAAATTGTTCTACCAAAAAGACACATGCACCTGTACGTTCATTCACAGTAGCAAAGACTACTGTGAATAGTGCAGATATCCTCATCAAAATGCCATTACACCATATTCAATACAACATTTGAAAGGATCATTTACCATGATCAGTTGGGATTTATTCTTGGGATACAAGAATGGTTCAACATATGCAAATCAAGAAATGTGATTTACCATATTAACACAATGAATAGCAAAAACCATACTATCATCTCAACACATGCAGATAAAGAATTTGACAAAATTCAGCCTTTCATGATAAAAGCTCAACAAATTAGATGTAGAAGGACTGTTCCTCAATATAATTAGTCAATATGTGACAAGCCCACAGCTGCCATTATACTCATTGGTGAAAAGTTGAAAGCTTTTCTGTTAGGATCAGGAACAAGAAAAGGATGCCCACTGTCACTGCTTCTGTTACACTTCAATTCAGTGTATTACTGGAATTGTTAGCCACAGAAATTAGATAATAAAAAGAAATAAAAAGCATACAGATTTAAAAGGAAGAAGTGATATTGTGGTTGTCAACAGCATAACGTTGTATAGAAAATCCTCAAGACCCCACTAAAAAGCTGTTAGAACTGATACATAAATTCTGGAATGTGCTTCAGTAATGTTTCAGGATACAAAGTCAACATACAAAAATCAGCAGTGTTTCTTGCTTTTTTTTTTTTTTTTTTTTTAATAGAGACAGGATATCACTCTGCCACTCAGGCTGAAGTGCAGGGGCATGATCGTAGCTCACTGTACCTTGAACTCATGCGTTCAAGCAATCCTTCCACCTCGGCCTCCTCAGTAGCTAGGACTGCAGGTGCACACTACCACATCTGGCTATTAAATTTTTTTTTTTTTTTTTTTGGTAGAGTCTTCTTTCTCTGTGTTGCCCAGGCTGGTCTTGAAGTCTTAGCCTCAGATGATTTTCCTGCTTTGGCCTCCTAAAGTACTAGAGTTATAGTCATGTGCCACTGCACCCAGCCTAAAAATCAGTAGCATTTTATAAACTAAAAATGAACTATCTGAAAAAGAAATTAAGGAAACCATCCCATTTACAATAGCATCAAAAAATATAAACTATTTTATAGTAAAGTTAACCAAAGATGTTAAAAATTTGTATACAAAAAATCATAAAACATTGATGAAATCAATGACAACGCAAATAAACAAATGATGTCCTGTGTTAGTGGATTGGAAAAATTAATATTGTTAAAATCTCCATATTGCCCAAAGT